CTATTCTATTCCATTCCACTAAAGGCTTTTGAAGAGCAGGCATGATCAGACCTGCACACTCCAGTCTAGTACTCCGTTGGATTTTTTATTCTCGTGTGGATATTGCCTCCAGTAATACTGATTATACCTTGTCCGTGCCTGCCGACACTATGGCACTCATCTTTGTCCTCCTTCCTATAATGGCAACATTGGATGTCCATCCAGTGTGCTGAATGCCTTCCTCAAATTTTCTTGATGTTGCAAGGCTCCCAGGGGAGCATGGATGGGCTACTGCTTATCCTCCACTCCACCATGTGATTAACTGATATTTCCCAATGATATGTAACTTGAACCTCCTTGCTCCTCTGCTTCCTCCTAATTCTTTGTGATGGGTCAGAGCCTTGTCATGACCACCATGCTTTCTGTCTTACCCTTGGAGTGAACCTCACCATTAGTTCTTGTATAAAAGGACCATTGTTTTGGTAGCTACATGAAGAATAGGTTGTAGAAGAGAGAGCTGAAGGTAGGAAGACTGTGGAGAACTTTACTGCAGAAATCTAAGTCTGAATGGCCTGAGCAATAGCAAGGAGAACCATGAGGCTAGAGGGATGCAGGTGGTACTATGGGGACAGAACTGATGAGACTTGGCAATTAATTAGAGACAGGAAGAATATAAGATCACTCAGATGTTTTAAGACAGGGTTATTTGGATAGGAATTCCCTAAACTGAAATAGGGAAGTTGTGAGGAAGAGAATATCAAACGGTTAAGATAAGCCCATTTTGGGAAAAGGTGAGGACTTCCAACAGATACTTGGCAATGTGGTATTAGATTGGGTTTTGTGGATAAAGGATGTTGAAGCTGTGCCTTAAAAAATGGCTATAATTTTGACAGCTGAAGATGGTGGGGATAAGAGGGAGAGGATGATGTATATTTATATTCCAGGTAGAGGGCCCCTAGGTGGAGCAGTGAATGGAGCGCCTGGCCTGGAGTCAGGAAAGCTCATTTTCCTGAGTTCAAATCTGGCCTCAGACACTAGCTGTGTGACCTTGGGCAAGTCACTCAACCCTATTTGCTTCAGTTTCCTCATCTGTCAAATAAGCTACAGAAGGAAATGGCAAACCACACCAGTATCTTTGCCAAGAAAAACCCAAAAGGGGTCACAGAGAATTGGACTCAGCTGAAACGACTAAACAACAGAAGGGGATAACATAAGCAGAAATGTGGAAATAGGAAAGCATGTGGGTATATTTTGGGATATAGCAAGAAATATATGACCAATGACTCATGACCAGTGACTTGTCAGGCGGTAAATATTTACTAAGCAGCTTTATTATGTTCCAGGCCTTTACAAAGAGAGGCAAAAGACAGTCCCTGTCCTCAAGGAGCTCAAAATCTAATGGGGGGACAATAGGTAAACACGTGTGTACAGACAAGCCCTATACAGGATAAATAAGAAAGAATTAAATGAGAAAAGCACTAAAATAATAATAGCTCATATGTATATAGCACTTAGCCAAGCACTGTGCTAAACACTTTATAATTATTATCTTATTTGATCCTCACTACAACCCTGGGAGGTAAGTGCTATTATTATCCCCATTTAACAGATGAGGTAACTGAGGCAAAGAGAGGTTATGTGACTTGCGCAGGATCACACAGCTAGTAAGTGATTGAGGCTGGTTTTAAACTCAGGTTTTCCTGACTCCGGGCCTAGCACTGTATCTGATGCACCATCTAGCTAGAAGTTAGAGGGGCTGGAAAAGGCTTCCTATGAAAGATGGGATTTTAGTTGGAACTTACTTAAAGAAAAATAGGGAAGCCAGGAGGTTAAAGTGAGGAAGGAGATTATTATAGGAATGGAGGACAGCCGGAGAGATGGACTGTCTTGTTTGTGAGACAGCCAGGAGGCCAGCATCACTGGATGGAAAAGTACATGGCAGGGAGATGTAAGAAGACTGGAGTGGAGGTGGGGGCTAGGTTATGCAGAACTTTAAATACCAAACAGAAGATTTTGTATTGGAGATAGTAGGGAGCCACTGGAATTTACTGAGTAGGGAGCGACATGGTCAGATCTGTGCTTTAGAAAAATCACTTTGGCAGCTGAATGGAAGATGGAGTGGACTGGAGAGAGGCTTGAGGAAGGCAGACTCCCCAGCAGCTTTTCCAGTAGTCTAGGCATGGGATGATAAGGGTCTGCTCCAACATGGTAGCAGTGTCAGAGGGGGTGCACTCTATACCTCTCCTGGATGAGTATGTGATCTCCTTGATGTCGATTCCTCTTTATCAGATTGCAATCCTTCCACACATTCTCATCCACATTCTTCCACTCAAGAATTTTTTAAACCCAAATGAGGTCAGTGAGGCTCTCAGGCTGATGACCTGTCACTTGTCACCCCTCTCTTTCACTATACACCTCACCTCCTTTTCTGATCCATGATTCTCTAAGTGATTTTTCCTTCCCCTGCACTTCCCTCCCTCTTTTTTTTTTTTTTAAACAGATGAGGAGATTGAAAGATTAAGTGACTGGCCCCAGGTCACCCAGGGCTACTCCATGATTTAAACCCAGTTGCCCTAGCCCCAGGTCTCTCTGTCAGCCTTGGTTTTCTTGTAGCTTTTGGTCTTTGGAATGAAATTCATTTTTATTACCTTTCCTTATTTCTATCTTATGTGTCAGCATTTTTCCTCCTATAAAACTAAGTAGTTCATCAGTGAGATCTTTGTCAATCCACTTAGGATGGATCCATCCATCTATCTTTTAAAGTAGCTCCCCCTTTTTTTCTCCTCATGGGAGTCTTGTTTTGCTTTTGACTACACAAATCCTGAAGTCACAGAGTAGAATATCTTGTAGGAAATTACCACTAGCTGTTATAAAAATTTGCGTAAATATCATTGGCAGATTCAATCCCATAATGTTTCAATTCATTATTCTTTTCTTATATGCCTGTATGCTGTCTAGGTTCTTATGGTGACTTTTTGTGGTGCTTTCTTGTTTAGAGGGAAATTACTCAGGAGAGTATAAATCCAATCAGTTTCTGTTTTTGTTTTATTTGCTTTTTAGGTTTCTTTTCTCTTAGGTTCTCAGTCTAATAACAATAGTAGTAATAACTCATATAGCTCTTTTCTCTTTACACGATGCTTTCACATGAATTATTTCATTTAATCTTCATAGTATCTTTATTGCCTGAGTAGGTGTGTTATTCTTGTTTTACCAGTGAGGAAACTAAAACTCAAAGAGGATTAAATTACACAAACGAGGTCATGCAAATAAAGTAGTGTCAGAACAGGAACCTGACCCAAGTCTTGACTTCTAGAGGATCTGTGTGTGAAGTCCAGTATTGGAATCAATTAACTCCTTTAATCCAGGCAGATGTAATCTTTTTCTCCTTCTAATATATTCTTTTCCCCGACTAAGTGATTAAGCATATAATGAAGGAAAACTCAGTGCCTTCTTGAAAATCAAGTGTAGAGTAATTAGGTAAGTTGATTTCCCTATCCATGTTGACAAAGTTCATGAAGTGAGAAAAAAAATTACTTCCTTAAATATTGAATTCTCAAATTTCTTGGGCTTTAAAGTATTTTTACAAAGAAAACTTAGCCTTGACTTATGAATACAATGGCTTTTGAATTTAAGGATAATTTAAAATAAAAACTATTAGTGGTCATTTCTAGTTAAGCAAATATCACTATTTCTGTACCGAACCCTAATAACCAGGAATTTAGTTATTAAGCTTAATGTAATTTCTAGAATATAAAAATATGACCTTTCAGGTTAATCCTAGAAGTGGGAGGGAGCCACAGTGGTCTCAAGTTGCCAGCACTGCCCAGTGGCCCAGGATTGTGTGGACATACCCTGCCTACTCTGGGGGAAAGGTCACCCCACTTTGCCCTAATCCCTTCCATGACGTAGGTAGTAGCAGGAATCAAGAAGGGTCCCAACATGGTATAATGGAAAATACACCCAGTACAGAGTTAGAAGATTCCAAACCCTGACAGTAGATAGGTGCAAAGGATTGCATACAAGATGTAAGGCACACCCTTAAGGGTGCCCAGGATAGTGGTTTTGAACCTGGCTCCCTCCAAATGTCTCCAAAAATGGTATTTTCTCATTTTAAATAAAGTTTATTTATTTGAAAAGTATTTAATTAAGTTCTGATTTCTTTAGTTTGTTTGAATAAAAATGTTCTTTGTGATCATTGTTTGCCATAAAGATAAAATGACATTTCTGGATGCACCCACACCCCCTGATGAAATGAGCCATATGTGCCTGTGGTTATGTGATTGTGATTGAGTTTTTCCTCACTGTGCAATGGGCATCACAATAAGTATACTCCCTACCTGCATGGTGGCTGTGAATGCTTATACACTGTGAAGCACTAAATATGTGTAATTTTGTTGTTATGAATCAGTAAATAGCATTTAGCTCCCCAATACAGCAGGGTTCCTGGCTGCTGCTTTCCAGTATAGCACCCACATGCAGGGTGTTCCAGGTGACTTAGTCTTCACACCTTTGGGACACTGTACAAAGTGGAGCTTAATGCTTATGGGCTAAACAGTTTGTAACTGTTTATAAATTATAAACTGTTTATAAAATAACTCAGGAGATGTAAGTTGTGGGTTCCTATTGAGGGAAGCCTAGAAAGCAATAGAGTAGTAGGTAAAGAAAGCTCATCAGATGTTATATAATACTTATTTGACCTGGTGAAAGCTTATAGACCAGGCCCATTTAGGACCTTTGCCTTCTTCTTTCCTAGTATTCTTTCCCACACTGATGATTTCCCTCTCTACTTAACTTCCCCCTTCAGTGATCATGTCAGTCTGTTAAGTTGTCAGGATGTCTGGCCATTAAGGATTGTTCTGTGTTATACACCCTGATTTTCAAACAGCTTACAGATGATCAGTCTTTTGGAATACTTCTTGTTTATGAGTTGGGGACTGCCTGTATTGCTGACTATAAAATTACTCATTTTTTAAACTCAATTTGAGGGATAATTACTTTATTCTTTTCTTTATCAAAAACAGTTCACAGAAGAAAAGCTTGGTCAGGCAGAGAAGACTGAATTGGATACTCACTTAGAGAACCTGCTTAGCAAAGCTGACTGCACCAAATACTGGACAGAAAAAATTATGAGGCAAACTGAGGTGCTATTGCAGCCAAATCCTAGTAAGGAACCTTTTTTTCTGCTTGGTCTTATTTGGCAATTTTATTTAAAGTACTACTTGTGCTACATGTTGTTTTTTACCCCTCTAATTAGCTTTAATGGGTCTTTTAACAGTTTGAAATTTTGTCTTTTGTTTTTGATTGAAATGGATTATTCTACATTTTTCTTTAGTACAAAACCTTTACATATAATGATAGTATTTGAAGACTTTCTGGAATCTTGTTTGACTGAGTATAATCAGAATAAAATACAAGTTAAGCTCAGTACCCTAAAATGTAAAAAAAAAAAAATCAAGCTCCATTACTTAACTTCTCAGGCTGTGATCTCAATGAATTTCAAAAAGCATATGATTGGAAAGGCTACAAAGAAAAATAAATCCTTCTGTTTGTTTAGAGAAAGAAGTGTTTCTGAATTATTCCAGATAAAATACAGTACACTAGAATTACTTCATATTTTTCCAAACATAGAATTTTAGAGCAGGTAATTTTATCTCTATTTTACAGATAAAGAAATTGAGTCTCAGAAAGGTTAGACGTGGCCAGTGTTGCTCAGCTTATTGGCAGTGGAACCAGAATTAAGACTCAGGGCTTTTAACACCCAATCAAAAATACTCAATCCACCATATCATTTTTTGGGGGAAGAAAAAGAGGACAAGTGACAAATGGTTGATGGGAATCAGCCATGCGAATTTTTTTTTGCGTAATTCTCCCTCTTCCACCATGACATATTGACAGCACTGTAAAATGTCATGAAATTATTATTAGATATTTTATCTGGATTTTAAAATTTTAGACTTAGAATTTATTACTACCATGTGGGCATCAAGTTCAGAAGCTATAAGAAATAACTACTGATGGTTCTAGGTTTTTTCTTATTTAGCTTACAAAGTGTTTTGGATTTTTGGTTTTTTTCTTAACAGACATTTCTTTAAATGAGGGATAGTTTCTCTGGAGAAATGTTTAGTCTTTCATGCTTATGTAGTTCATCTGTCATGTAAGGGGACCCATTTAAGGCCTCTAAGGGTCTTAGCCCATAGTTTGGAAGGAAGGAAGGAAAGAAAAAATAGACATTTTTATTTCAGTGCCTTCCCTTATGATAGCAGAATTTCTTCTAATATATATGTTAGTAATCCCTAGTAAGAAAATCCTATAGCCATTTATTTGTATGCAAAACCAAGTAGACAATTGACTTACTATTTTAAAATTAATTTTTATTAATATGCCACAGTAGTCTATTAATCAAATTTAACTTAAAGTGTATATTAGTCCTAAATTCAGTACTTGAAATGTAAATACCTCTCTATTCTCCCAGATCACAAATATCTCTGAAATATTTTCTATTATGCAGTAAAATCTACCATAGAAATCATCATTGCTCTAGTATTAACACACAACAGAAGTAAGTTTTTGCTGGCAGATAGGCAGTGTGAAGTTGTTTTCTTCATCTCAACTAAATTAAACTTAGTCAGTTGTATACCATAATGACAGTATATTGCTGGCATCAGATCACTGTCACTTCAGTCTGAACTGGCTCATTTACAGACTTTCATGTCTATATTTAATCTTTAAACTCTGGGAGACTTTCAGCTAGGCCCAGCAGAGATTTAGCTTAAGGTAGAAGAGACTTGTATGTTATTCTTATTCTCTAACAGTGTATCTCTTCTAAACTTAGAAATAGCTTGTATTTATGTTTTCTAAATCCAGCATACAGGCAAACATTTAGTAGATTTGAAAGAAAAATCTAAATGGAAAAAAGGAATTTTATACTTGAAAGTAACTGTTTCTACCAAACTTTTTAAGAACTTAAAATCACATAGGACTCTCATACAACCCTAGGAAAAATTTTACCTTTTAAAATAATTTTAGCGTCCAGTTATTTTAATAAGTTTAATTCCTGATTTTAAAAAAATGTAAATAAACTCCTTTAGGAGGAAGAATATTGGTCTATTAGTATTTTGGTAGTCAAATAAGATAGTTTTGCTATTTTTCATAATGAGTAAGTTCTATATTTTAATATGTGGTGGTAGCTTCATACTTGTTTGAAGAGAGGGCATAGTTCATAATAAAATGTTTCCAAAAGTAGTTTACTAAACTAAAAATAGTATTTTAAATGTATTTTGTAATATTAACTTTTCCCCAGATGCTAGAATAGAAGAGTTTGTTTATGAGAAGTTGGATAGAAAAGCTCCAACTCGTATAAACCACCAAGAACTCTTGGGGCAATTCATGATTGATGCAGGGAATGAGTTTGGCCCAGGAACTGCTTATGGTAAGTGAAAGCCAAGAAGATTTGGTAAGAAATGCTTTATAGTAGTATAAGATCTTCATTAGAGATATCTTTTTTGAAGTCACTTCAGCTTCAAATTTGAGGTGTTCGGTTGTTACTTGGAGCAAAGACAAGTTAATAAAAAAAAAATAGCCGTATCCATGGAACTCAGTAAAAGCTCTGCCTTAAAATCTAAATCTCAAAAAATCTAAAATTTTAAATTTGAAAAGCACCTTGAAGATGATTTAATTCACCTCCTTCATTTTATAAATAAGAAGAATCAGCCTCTGGCAGCTGCACTGATTTGCTCAAGATCGTACTAGTTAGTGTCAGAGTTTGGCCCAGAGTGCTGGCCTTTTTTCTTCTGTGCCCGATGGACTTTTCATCATCTCTTGATGTTCCTGCTTCACTTCTTAGTAGAGTTGTCATTGATTCTGTTATCTGTTCATCAACATCGTTTTGTCGATCTTTGTTTTCCTTGACTTTTCTGAAAGCATTTGACACTAACCATCCCAATCGTCTTCCTGCTTTCCCCTCCTTTGGCTTCTGTGACACTGTTTGGATAACTCCTATATCTATGATTTTGGACCTGACATCTCCCAAGAGTTCTTAGTGCTTAATTTTCAACTGCCCACCAGACATCTTCACATAGATGTTCAACTAATTCCTCAAACTTAATATTTAAAAAATTAAACTTATCTGTTGCCTTATTCCTCAGCCCCTACTACTCTTTCTTCTAAATTTCCTACGTACATTGTCTGTACCACCATTCTTCTGATCATCCAGACTTGAAACCTCAATCTTTGCTTTGATTATTCCCTGTCCCTTTCACCACCACCCAGTGGCCAAGTCAATTACCGAGCCTGTCAGAGAATATGAGCTGTAAGAAACCTAAGCAGGAACATCCTCTCCACAAGCCCCACAAATAATCCTTCAGCCTGTGCCTGCAGGCCAGCAGTGGAAGAGATGGTCAGTGCCTCCCGAGGCAGGCCAGCCAGCCTGAATTGCCAGGAAGTTTGCCTTCTCTTGATCACAATCTCTGCATTTGCAACTCCCACCCATTGGTCCTAGTTTTGCCCTTGGGGGCCAACTAGAGTAAGTTCAGTCCCCCTAAAACATTTGAGGATTAGTTTCATGTGCTTTTCCAAACTAAACATCCCAAGTTCCTTCAGTTTTGTATTGGAAAACATAGTCTTTCGGCTACTTACTATCCTCTTCTGACCATGTTCTATCTTGCCAGGGCCTGCATGGTATGTGATGCCCAGATCTGGTCTGATCAAAGCAGAAAACAGTGGAACTGTTACCTCCCTGGGTGGGGAGGCGATGTCTCAGTTTATGCTGCTTAAGATCATGTTAGCTTTAAGGGAGCTGTTGTATCACACTGATTAAAATTTGGGTTCATGTCTTTTAAAACCTCTAGATATTTTTCACACCCTTTGTTCTCTAGATGTATGTCCTCCATTCTGTTCTTGCATAGTTGATGCTTTTGAATCTAAGTGTAGGACTTCTCATTTAACAGTATTATGAATTCTAAGGCATCTAGCTTATAAGCTGACCCAGCCTTTATGATACTTGCAGATTTGATAAGTAGACCATGTATACCTTATCCAAGTCACTGATGTAGGCCCTGATCATATCACCTCTAGACTACTGTAGTAACCTGCTGGTTGGTCTCCCTGATTAAATAATCTCACCACTCCAATCAGTTCTCCAGTGTCTGAATAGGTTGTCAAACTGATCTTCCTAAAGTTTAGTTCTGCCTATGTTATCTTTCTGTTTAGGTAACTCCAGTGGTTCCCTGTCACCTCCAGGATCAAATTTAAAATTTTCTGTTTGGCATTCAAAGCTTTTCATAACCTGGGACCCTCCTACCTTCACTATTTTACAGTTCAGTGACACTGACCTCCCAATTCTGGGACATTTTCGCTGGCTGGCCTTCTGACTTCCCTAGAAGCCTTTCCTAGGCCTCCTTAATTTTCCTTTTGTTGATTATCGCCACTTTGGCCTCTCTATAATTGGTTTGTATGTAGTTGTTTACATGTTGTCTCCCACATTAGACTGTGAGCTCCATGAGAACAGGAATTGCCCTGTCTTTCTTTGTGTCTCCAGTGCTTAGCACGGTTTCTGGGTACATCATAGTCATGTAGTAAATACTTGTTGCTTTGTTGACTAAATGCTCACAAAATATCCCTTAATATATCCTAGAACTTGTTCCAGGAATAGAAATTAAGCTCATTGGCCTGTAGTTCATCCTCTTCCTGTTTGGAAAATTGTAACATTTATTTCCTTTCAGTTTATGAATTTCCTCACATGAGTATATGTTCTTACTCTGCTGTGCTACTCATTGCTGTTCATTTAATCAGTTTCTTTTTATATGAAGTGTACTCATGCATCCTATTCCAGTCGAGTCATATTTCTTGTCATTTCTACTTCTGCAGTGTCCCGTCTCTGTCCTCTCATTTTCATATGGTCTCTGCCTCTCACCTGAGCTGCTATTATCCCCTCATAATTGACCTCTTGGCCTTCAGTCTCTCTTTTCTCCTTTCTTTATACCATAGCCAAAACAATCTTTCTCATTCACAGATCTGTGTCACTCCCCTGCTTAAAAACTGTTAGGTGCTGGGCCTGGACCCAGGAAGACCTGCGTTCAGATCTTGCCTCAGGCATTTGCTCGCTCTGTGAGCCTGGGCAAGTCATTTAACCTCTGCCTGCCTCAGTTTCCTTATCTGTAAAATGAGATAATAATAGCACCTACCTCCTCCTTCTTGTGAGGATCACACAAGTATATGTAAAGCATTGGTTAAAACTTGAAAGTGCTATATATAATAGCTATTATTTTACTGGCTCCCCTCAGGATAAAATACACACTCCTTATCCTTGATATATTCAGTGTCTCCCCTCCCCCCCAAGCTAACATGATCTGAAGCAGCATGAGACATCATGTCCACAGCTATGGAAGTAGTGGTCCCATTCTATCAGACCAGATGTGGACATTACTGACACTGGCAAACTGGAACATGTTCAGAGGAGGGTGGCAAGTGGATTGGAGAAGAGAGTTAGAATGCAGAGTAAACTGAAAAGCATGTTGTTTGGAGATATGGTTGTTAAACATTTAACAGCTCACCCTGCTTAATCCCCTGGCTTTGATTTCATCTATAAAACAAGATGGTTGAACTAAATGGCATCCAAGATCCCTCCCAGCTCTAAATCTGTAATCCAGGGCAAGTTTTCTCTTGAGGTTTTGCTCAGGTGCTCTTTCTGCTAGGAAACCTTCCCTTATCTTCCCTTCCCTACAACTGATAGAGATTCCTGTCTCTCAGATCTCACATGCAGCTCTGACCTTCCTCATTCTAACTTCTGTTAGTCGTTATTATGCACTTCTTAATGCAACTTTTGTGTAAGCTAGGTGGCACAGTGGATAGAGTGCCTTGCCTGGAGACTTATTATCCTGAATTCAAATCTGACCTCAAACATTTACTAGCTGTATGACCCTGGGCAAGTCACTTCACCCTGTTTGCCTAAGTTTCCTCATCTGTAAAATGAGCTGGAGAAGTAAATGGCAAAACTACTGTCTTTGCAAAGAAAACCGCAAATGGGGTCATGAAGGGTCAAACACAGCTGAAACGATGGAACAACAAAAAAATACAACTTTTAGATTGTAGACTTCTTGGGAAAAGGGACTATCTTTTTTTTTCTTTTTTTGGCTGGGCAATGGGGTTAAGTGACTTGCCCAGGGTCACACAGCTAGTAAGTATTATGTGTCTGAGGGCAGATTTGAACTCAGGTCCTCCTGAATCCAGGGCTGGTGCTCTATCCATTGCGCCACCTAGCTGCCCCAGGACTATCGTTTTTGAAATTCGACTCCCTAGCACCTTATACAGTATTTTGCACATAGTAGGTACTGTTACTGAATGAATGGCACCTTTCAACTGTAGACAATCCTGTTATCCATAGATACTTTATAAAACATTTTGCAAGCATTCACATCTTATAAAGTTTTCTATAATTATTCTAACACCACACATATTTTAATGTCAACTTAATTTTATGACTTAAAAATTGCCAAATTGTTGTTAATTATAATTAACATTTATTTAATAGGAAGATATCTAGCAATTATATATTTATAACTTTAAATATTCCTTAATTTAAAAATTAACCTAGGGACAGCTAGGTGGTGCAGTAGATAGAGCACCAGCCCTGGAGTCAGGAGGACCTGAGTTCAAATCCAGCCTCATACACATAGCACTTACTAGCTGTGTGACTCTAGGCAAGTCACTTAACCCCAATTGCCTCATCAAAAAAAAATTAGCCTAACTCCAAGTCATCAGATCAGAGCTACACAGTTGGCAGAGACTTCAGAGACCATCTAGTCAAGCTCCCTCATCTTGTAGATGAAGAAACTGAGGCCCTGGGAGGTGGGGACTTGCCCAGGTTTCCACAGATAAGTAGGCATCAGAAGTGGGATTTGAACCCAGGCCCTCTGACTCCAGAACTAGAGTCTTTTTGAGATTATATAATTTTAACTGTTGGTTTCATAAGAACTATTTGATTTTTGAATAGGCAAGTCGCTGCTTTATCTTCTCATTGTAGGAGCTTAGTAATTGTACGCATTACCAGAAGATTGTAAATAAAATTTTCTTTTACAGGTAATGCCCTCATGAAATGTGGAGAAACACAAAAACGAATTGGAACAGCAGACAGAGAACTGATTCATACATCTGCAATAAACTTTCTTACTCCTTTAAGAAACTTTATAGAAGGAGATTATAAAACAATTGCTGTGAGTTGGAAGACTTTTTTTTTTTGTAAAATAGTTTATCTTTATGTACCCACACTCTAATAAGTGTTGGCAACTATATTCACCTTCTTATTGACTGATTTAAAAGTCTTAATTATAGGGCTGTAACAGGCACAGAAATTATTTTTAAAAATCTCTCCAGATATGCTCCCTGTTCAGCATACCATTGAAGTGGGAGTTAAAAGATGGGCTAAAGTAGAGAGCTAGTGTGAGTCTTATTCAGTGGTTAAGACAGTAGTATTAATATTAAACAACTCCTTGTCTCTCTGTCAGTGGATAGATCTGTAGTGCAATTCCTGGAAATTCAAGGAAAGGGAAAGACTGAGCTGTCATTCAGGTAGCACTTAAGTCATAGGACAGTTTTCAAAAATACACTGTGCTTGTAGTTGTTACCCTGTACATGGAGATTCTTGAGGCTGGTATGAGTCCCAAACACCCACCTGCTTGCCTTAGGGGACCTAATCAGTGGGCATGTAGACTTCCAGAAATTATGCATCATTTCCTCTTAATTTCCTTAGAAGTGTGGTGGAACCCTGCCTTATGGAAGAAGTAAATTCCTCCCAGTTGCTTTGACATATTCTCTTTCCTGCTCTTCCCCCTGCAGACCCACTCCATTGTGTTCTCTAGGCTAAAGCCTCTTATATTTACCCTGGAATGCAAGCAGGAAAAAGCTCTCATCTTGATTCCAAGTATTGACCCCTTTTGGCTAAATTTGCAAATCCCTTATTCTAAAACATTTTGGAAACACATTGTTTTAGAAAATGTTTGTTGGTGTGAAAATTAAATGTTGGTATCATTTGATTTTCCTATAGCTTTTTAGCTTTGGTCAAAAGAATTGAGTAATTTTTTCCTTTTAAAAATGTTTTTGATATCTTTATCTTTAAAAGTCCATCAAAACTAACCAACGTATCAGCTGAGAATATTCCGTATTCCCTGCCCATAGGGCCCAACCTCTATGGAGATTGGAGGAAGCTACATTTTTCTGTCTGTTCTCCAGGGTCAATCTGAGACTTCATAACAGTATTGTGTTTTATTCCTAGATCCTCATTTTATATATGAGGAAACTGAGACTTAGAGAAGTCAAGGGATTTGGCCAGGATCATATTACTAATCATTGTCTCCTCACTCTAGGTCTTATACCGTAGCTGTTGCACACCTAAGTGCCTATATAAAATTTATCATCTGCTTTTTCTGCATGCTGAACTCTCAGCTCATTAAAGGGACCCTTTTGTATATTAACAGAAAGAAAAGAAACTACTGCAAAATAAAAGACTTGATTTGGATGCAGCAAAGACCAGACTGAGGAAGGCCAGAAATTTAGATGCTAAAGTCACAGTAAGTAGTGTTTTAGATTCCTTATTAAGCTGAAAAATCATTATCCTTAAAGACTCAGAATTGTTACTGATATATCAAATGAAGTATGACTGTAAGGAAGTTATTTTTGATTTTGAAATCAAACTCACCCATATTTTATACACCAAATTATTGTTGTTCTCTTCAAAATAATGAGGCTATGTATTCCAGTTATGCTGGTCTTTCTGGAGATAATTATTGGCATTGCCTTTAGAGCCCTCATCAAGTTCAGTTTAATATCATGTCCTTACTAGATGGAATATGACTAAGACATAGCCCTTGTTTTCTTAGAAGTGTACGCTTAGGAGGAGAGACAAGACAAATGTATGCAGAACTAGTACAAGGAGAATATAAAAGCAACATCATAATAACTGACATGTAGGTAATGCTTAAAAGTTTGCGAAGCTTTCTCTACATATATTTAAACTCTCATCCATCTCATTTGATCCTTACTGTAAGATACTACAGGTATTGGATTCACCTGTTATTGATGAAGAATCTGAAACCCATAATAGTTAATGAGTGACTTGCCTAAGGTCACACATTTAGGAAGGACCAGAGACAGAATTCATGCCAGGGTCTTCTGAGTCCATTTAAGTTTTTCCTTACATGGTTATTGGCTCATTCTTAAGTTTTTCTTTACGTGGTTCATTAGCTCATTCTAAAGGCAATTCATAGAACCAAAGGTTGGAAGGGTCGTCAAAGGTTCTGTGGTCCAACCAAATACAATCTTGTCCATATCTAGAGACCGTGAGTAAGGGGGAACCTACTAGTACCTGAGGCATCCCAATCCACTTTAGGTAGCTGTAATGGTACTTTTTTCTTTATATAAAGCTAAAATTGGGGCAGCTAGGTAGCACAGTGGATAGAGCACCAGCCCTGAAGTCAGGAGGACCTGAGTTCAAATCCGGCCTCAGACCAATTTGACACTTACTAGCTGTGTGACCCTGGGCAAGTCACTTAACCCCAATTGCCTAAAAACTTTAAAAAAAAAAAGCTAAGATTGTGCCTGTCAGCTGCTTCCAACCATACTCTTAATTCTTCTCTCTGAGACTAAGAAAAGACTTTAAGTCCCTTTTTCACACCCCTTCAAATATTTGAATATAATTTTAATGTCCCTTTTAGGTTTTCTCTTCTCTGGGTCCTTAAGGTCTTATATGACACAGCCCCAAGTCCTTTCACAGCCCTATTTTTATTCTGTTCTGGACGCTCATTAGCTTATCTGTGTGATACCCCAAAATGAACCCAATATTCCAGGTGTTTGACTGGGGCAGAAAAGAGCAGAGCTATTACTGTCCTAGGCCTGAGTGACCCTGATGCCATTTTTAGTGTAGCCTAACATTGCTTTAGCATTTTTGTCTGACATATCACAGCGCTGGCTCACATTGAACTTGAATGCCGAGCAAGGAATCCCCAAAATGTTTTGATCAGTGGCAGTGTTGTAAGGAAGCTATTGTGATACTTAATCCAAAGTGACCCCATTTTGAAGAACATACTTCATTAAAGGTATAAGTTATGTTAATTTTTTTTTTAAAGTTTCATTCAGGTTAAGTTATAATTGTTTATTAATGCAGTAATTCAGGGATTGTACACATTAACTATTCACAAAGGAATTCGTGTACCTGCAGGATTTTTAGGCTTTTTACATTTTTATAGTTGGGAATACTAATACTAAACTAAGGGAATAAAATTAAATTACTTACTTTATAGCTTCTAAAAATCTGCATTTTTCAAACAAATTGATGAACCAATCAAACATTACTTTTCAATGAAGAAATAGATTTTGTTACTACATCATTATAAATATTGAGACTGGATAGCAGAGCTTGTAGTCCAAGATTTTCAACCATGGTAATTATTACTCTCTGATGAGAACTCATAAGAATACCACTCTGGGGAGAGCAAAGGAAGTTTCTTGTAATGTTTCGTGTTTTCCCTTCCTTTGGAAGCTCTCTGTTAGAAGGAGTTACCAACTGCGGAGCTACAGAGTTAAGATGAAGTCTAACTGAGCATTTCTGGGGTCATTTACAAGAAAGTTTGTTACCCTTAGGCTTTTTGACAGTTTTCTCTATCTAGATTCCCTATAGAATGGTGGCTATTTTAAAGGTGTTACAAATTTTTTTTGGTCTGTTTAGGACTAATCTTATTATTGTGTAATTTCATTAATATTTACACCTACTACAAAAATTCTTGGAATTTTAGTTCTTCTGTCACTTTACTACAAAATATGATTTTTCTTCTATATTCGCATGACTTTAGGCATTTTCTTAACAAATGAAACTTTGCACCTTTGAAAAACATTGGACAGCTCAGAGCTTGCTAATTCTGCAAAGGAAGCAGAAAGTGTTAAGTTCATTCCCTTGAGGTTGTAACTTAATAAAAGAGGAAAGGGACAGACTACTTGTGGAAAAATATACACAGATTGAAAAGTGAGTTTTTAAATTAATTGACTGTGAGGAAATTCTTACTACAAGCATTCTCATTCTACAGATACCCTAGGAAAGCCACTAATGACAAAATCTGGCAACTTGTGGCATGGTGCAAACTTAGATACAGCATTATAAACATGAGTGCAGTCTGAGCAAAGATTTTTTTTTTTTCCTTACGTACTTCTAAGTATGTAATCTTGACTCCAAGTGCTTAGACAGATTTGGATTTCTACAGTGGCGTGGAATTGTAGATCTTCAAAATAGCTATCTGTTTTCAGAACAAGTTTACTAGTAGGGAAATTCGTGTTGCTAGCAATCCAAGTTGACTGCAGTTTTAATTTTGGATCACAGTACAAACCATGTATTTGATGAAATGTCAGCAGAATGTTTAAGATGCCATCTGATATATTGAAATTTCAGCCTTTTAGAATTTGATTTTTAAAAATTATTGGTTGAAATCAAGATTATTTAATCCAACTTCTCATTTTCAACTTGAGAAAATTGAGGCTGACATTAAGTGGCTTGCCCATGGTTAGATTATTTGATGGTAGAACCTACACTTGAACCCACATCTACAAAGGCCTTAATGTTTTTAGCTGAAAATTTAGTAGATATTTGCTAGACATGTATCCCTGTGGAATAGGTTCCCCTCTCCCCCCAAAATGAACATTATATCATTTGCTCAAAATTAGACTGCTCATACACAAAGGTCTGAGAAGCGTAGAATTCTAGCAGGAAAAAGATTGTAGGGTCAAGCCCTCCAAGGAGGGCTGGTGTTTTCAGTTTCCCTTTTTTTTTGCTGCCACAGGACAGAGTGAGCCTTCTTCCAGCTTTCCCCTAGGTTCAGTGAGCTGAGAACTTGGGCTCGTTGGTTTTCCCCTTCAGGTTTCTCACTACCATCCTTTTCCTTTGTTTCCTGGGTCTTCATTCCTGGTTGGCATTAGGGAAGAGACACACTTTGTCTTGGCTCCTGATTCCCTGGACACAGCCTAGGACTCCTCTCAAGACTTTTGTTTAAAAAGAAGAATTAGACAGAGGAGCGGCACACTCCTGCTGTGCCCCCTAAGGTCAATAGACACCCTGAAAGTGCTGGCATTACAGTTAATCCTCATCCTGTGTACAAATGTATTTTGATCATAGCTCTTATTTTCTCTTAATTTCCCTCTCTTCCTTGTCAGACTCATCTTTCAGGTCTTCCTTGAATTAGCTTATCAAACGTCAAGGTTAATAGTAAAGACTGGACCTATGTTTTCGTCAATATAGTTAACTCCTCAGTGAGGGAACTGCCTCTCCCAATGTCTTGGAGAGTTACCTAGAGTGATCGCCTTCTCCTCCAAACACCAGAGAAAAGGCAAACTGCCTGAACTATAATTGGGTCTCATAGATGCTCTTAAGCTCTCCTGGATTGTGCATTTTCCCCTTTCTTGGGATCCTAAATTTAGAGCTAGAAGGGATTTCAGAGATCAGATCCAGTGCCTTCATTTTACAGATGAGAAAATGGAGGCAAGAAGGGAGAAACTTGCCTGAGGTCACACAGCAGCAGCACAACAAAGAGCTGAACCCAGGTGCTGCTGAAGGCCCAGAGTGGCGCCTTCAATGCAGCTGCTCTGTGATGGTGGGTGCCCACCAGTAGGGCTTCTTCAAGTTCCTGTGTATTTAACGAGGGAAGAAAAAAAAATTCTGGAACCAAGATCTCCTTTGTATTCTGAACCTTTTCAGATGAGTAATTCTGGAGCTGTCTAACCTTAGACTCTAAAGTAACAGGTTGTCATATCACTGTCCACGAGTAGCTATATCTTTGATAGTCCTAAGATGTTGTTTGATATATGTACCACTCATTACCTGCCTTGAAAGACTGGGTAATGACTTTCTGCCTTTCTGGGCCTCAGTTTCCACATATGTTAAATGAAGAGATGGGATTCTATCTCCGAGTTTCTTCCCAGCTCAAAAATCTATGATAAGCCTGAGTCCTTACAGTCTTGTTCCTGTATATAAGGATGTATAACAGGATGTTATGCAATTATGCATTCTCATTAGTTGTTTGATTGAAATAATAAAAGATATTAATTTTTTTTTTTTTTGCTTTTTTGGTGAGGCAATCAGGGTCACACAGTTAGTAAGTGTCAAGTGTCTGAGGTCATATTTGAACTCAGGTCCATTTGACTCTAAGGCCAGAGCTCTATCCACTGTGCCACCTAGCTGCCCCAAGATATTAATATTCTGAGCCATATATGGCCTTGAATAAACATACTAGGCTTATTTATAGAGTCTTTAGGCCAAGTGACCAGTCTTATTATATCAAAGTAGCAACCCTGAGCCTTGCGTTGCCATAGTTTAGATCTTTTAAGATAAAGAATGTATTTTACTTTGGCATGGCACCCAGAGACCACTTGTTTTATTAAGTGCCTATTCTGTCCATCTGATAACATCAGTTGGCACAAAGAGCCAAAAATGCATTTCATGTCTTAATTGCCTAGCAGAAACTGTGTTTATTGGAATACCATTCAAAAATGAATTAAATACTGCTATTTTAACTAAAATATATTTCTTCCA